TAGTGCGGTCAATCATAAAATGACCATCACTCGTGAATTGAGGACACAGGTGCATGCGTCCGCAAGCACTGCGTGGACCTGTGCGCACGCGCACACACACACACACACACACATACACACATCGTTTGCTGAAACCTCAACATTATCGTTGCTGTTGTTAGTGTTGGTGTTACAACTACTACCATGGCTGCGACAACCATGATGATCAGCTTGCTCCGGTCTGACGATAGAAATGCTTGACCCAGATGTACATTAACGTTCAAACCAAACGAATCGCTGATTGGGCACGAAACCAGGGTCACACTAGCAGCAACGGTGGGCTACTTTCGATACCTTCTCTTCCCAACCATTCAATTGTACACGTGTGTGTGTGTGTGTGTGTGTGCGGTAGTCCTATCTGCACAGATTTCTACGGCACAAATGAATGAATGATTTAAGGTCATGACGAATCAGACGACGAGTGGTGCACAGAAAAATTGGTGCATTTGTATGCGTAAGCACTCACGCACGCACACTCGCACGCGGGCGGGCGGGCGGGCGGGCGGGCGGGCGCGAATTTGAATTTTGCCGTTTCAGCTATGTCATTCGGGTTTTTATGGTCACTGGTTTCTCCGAACTGTCAGAGCGGAGGAGGAAAGTAAATCATCGCTCAGACGCACGTTTCGACCACATTTCAATTCCAGTCATCCTGTTTATCACATATTCCATGTCACAAATGGTGGAGTAATTCGCATGCGAGTAATTACGTCTGGTTTCTCTCGAGCGCGCACATGTATGTTGGGAGATATTGCAACGACATGGAGCGACGCGATGATAACGAGACAAATAAATGACGACATAACTATAAACAATGTATTTGGCGGGTACATGGGATTCCGCTAATTTCTGAGATTTATTGCGCTAGCAAAAGCGCAAACCGTTGGGTTTGCCAGGCAGCCGGAAAAAATCCAAATTTGATCTAAACATCCGTGCGGATTGGAGTTCACATCCCAGTGGATATGCACTCACTGTTCATGGGTCGTACGTGGCATAAAACGACTGAAAAAAATTGCTTCCCGCGGTAGGTGATATGCTAACTTTATATCACGAGTCCGCGGATAGAGAACAAGAAAACAAGGTCGACTGAGAAGTGTGATAATTGATCGTGCGATCAACTTTTGGCATTCCCAGACTCGTTCGTTGAACGCGCAACTTAATCATTTTTGGCGGGAGAAATTGAATCGTTTAAAAAAGGATGATGGTATTTTTGTAGAATGTCAACTGAACCGGAAGTATTATTTTACCGCAAGTGCAGAAATTGTTAAACATTATTCTATCAACCAGACATTTGATTCTGTCGTAGATCTATTATCGATGCAAGCGGGTTAGTATCAAAGCATTGTTCAAAACTTTGAATCCCTTGTTTTGTGAGTGATTTTCAAACACCTATGGGCCTTCTTAATTCAGTTCAATGACGCAAAGGAAGTGTCCAGGAACGAGTCTTTCTTTTCACCCTTGTAGATTTTGCACGAAGGAGAAAAATGAAGAGGTTTCCAAACGAATACGGTCAATACGCTTTGAATTATTATTATTATTATTATTATTATTATTATTATTATGGTTACGGTTGTGGTGGGGGTCGGGATGGTAACGATAAAATGTTTGGTTCCTCGAGAATTTTCTTCACAGGATTATTTTCTACAAAGATTCAAAACGGAAGCGTTTTGTTTACTCCATAGCAGACACTTACCCGTACTTTGCCCCTGAACACACTCTTTCCATTCGGTTCTCAATTTATCACCAAAAAATAAGTGAGCTGGTTATTGACTCTTGAATTATGGAACTCAAAATTGCATCAGCCAGAGTGGTTAAATCGAAATTGGCTTACTCTGCCGTAGGTAGATACGTGCG